TAGTAAAAAACATAGATAATTTAAAGGGAGAGAGCAGCATGTCCTGATGGATTAAACCCTAAGGTTTCTAAGGGTGGTGGTCCACACCTAGCAGCTAGATTGACCGATATATTAACCGAAGTTTGCGGATTGGACGTAGTTTCTCGTGACCGGTCTCGATCTCTAGTCGCTCCATTCTATGAAGAAGGACAAAAGTCCTCTTATAGATATCAAAGAAGAGTCGGTTCGGCTAACATAGCTTCCGAAATATTAGCCTTAATAATACTACGACACTCAACTAGTGCTCGTTGAAAGCAAACCCAAGATAACTAGGCTTGTTGGAGAGTCGAGTGTAAATGTATAGACTAAATATCAATCCTTCACTAGGTTTTGAAACGTGAGCATACTTTTTGACGTCCAACTACAGTTACATTTTCAGTATGAGATTGTGGAGATTGTCGAATTTCAGTTAAATCATGAATCGATCTAATTTAAACAGCTAATGAAAATCTGGATTCATTGAACGGTGTTTTCATCCTACCATGTGACTCATCGTAACGGTTACACGATCCTTTGGTAGGGACTCGAATTCAGGACTTTCAGTCTCGCGCGTGAACGCTTAACTTCCAGACCACTGAGCCGGCATCCAATACTGTTGATGTACTTGAACTTGAGGTGTCGTTCGATTTTGTTGATTGTGAGGTTCTGTAGCAGTCTGTCATTAAAACGCGTACCAAAGAAGTACATTAACCTTATACAGGCCCCCTACTCGAATCAAAGCTTATGATGATCTGTCATCATTATTTTTAACCGAAAGTGGTGTTCGTCAGGGCTGTCTAATTTTTCCATTTCTTGTGAATTCGTCACAATTATCCTTTAAGAGATAACACTCATAATCTGACATCAGGGATTGGTCTTTACCTGGAGATTCACTTGTTGAATTAGGATACGCAGATGATATAGTTCTGTTTGGTGAAGACTGACAAAATCCGGAGTCTTCTGACCTCACGGTTCTCTCCCTTCAAATGTAAAGTGTGACTTCAGGATTGCCTTGCTTCATCGTCCGAAGTAGTGATATGGAGTCTCATCAGTCCTGATGTCCGACAAAATCTCTTCACAGATTCAGGAGGCTGAATTCGCTTTTGCCGACTTTCTTCATTTGTGGCGTATGTACGATATGTCTCACAATCAAAGGATGAGTTCACTACACAGCAGTTCACTCCATTCTACTTTATGAGTGTGAAACATGATCATTAAGATATAGACAATATTTGTAGGTCACTAGTATTCGGTCATAATTATCTTCGAAGCATTGCTCGTGTATTTTGGGACCACCTATTATGTAATGTGGAGGTTATGAATAGAGTAATAGGTGAATATGGCAATTCGGTTGATGAGGTAGTAAATCTTCATCAACTGAGCTGGTTGGAAAACGTTACGCATGGCCACCCACCACCTCCGTGATCAGGCGATGTTTTCTGGTGTTGGAGTAGGCTGGATGAAACGAATACATAGTATCAGCCCATGAAGATAATGAGAATTGAACTGAGCCATGTTAATAAATGTAGACTACCTGGATTCTGCGTGATTGTCTCAAGTAGCGGTTATAGAATATGGGTGACATCAGTTAAAATCGTTACCAATGGTACAGGTGCATCCATTCCTGGTCTTCCCCCGAATTCTGAGATTCCGATTCTCACGAGATTTCTATGTTTTTATTATTCGAACTTATATTTTCTAGAGTAGTATCGTTGATGCCTAGTTTTTTAACCGCTACTCATCCTCTTACTATCTCTTCTATTCTAGGATTTGGCATGACAATTTCATCTCTCTGTACTAATAGGATGTGGCCATTTGAACCAATGTACATATGTACCAGGTTCTACGTTGTGAGCAAAATATCAAGAGGTGGCTGCTTATCAGACTAGTAGGCTTTAAGACCCACCTGCATTTTTCCGATTGACTTAACCTGTCGAATTGGTCTCTAAAATCGCCTGCTAAGGTTACTACGGCTGGGCATCCGGCTTCCTGAGAGAGATCATGAAGTTTCCTGTAAACTCACTTTTCACTTTATTCGAAGTGCAATCAGTGGGGGCACAGGAATAAAGAGCGAGGATTCAATGAAGTGTCATTACCTCTTCAACTTCTAATTCCGCCATTGAGACGGACAGCACACAAGTGAAAATCGACAGGAATCCAGTCAAGTGCCTGTTCTGTTTTCAAACTTAATGTTATACCTATATTTCTGAAACCATGAGAATCTTCTTTCGTGTCTCCAAATACGCGACGATTACGTCACACCGGCTGTCCATGCTGGTTAGGAAAGGTAAAGTGAATGGCTGTGCTAAGATCCTGTGTGTATACTCCCGAGACATCATACACCGATGGCACATGATTGCCATATCTTAGTTTGTGATGCCTGTTTGATTAACCAAAGGGGTCGGACGTTGAAAGCTCCAACATGTAGCTTGAAGCGAAGTTTTAATAGACATAGACCGATATTTGGTGAAGTTGAGTTAATATCACTGGTGGGATATAGGAAAGTTATGACGTTTTCTGTTGGAAGCATGATGTCGGTTGTTACTCCTATGTCGTTCACACCACGAAAGGATAGTTCTTGAGGTATCTGAAGAGATAGCTCTTGTCTTAGTGACTCGTAAGCGTGATCGCACAATCCAAGATAAAACTGGTTCAGGCTAGTCAGGGCCTTTTTCGAGTGGTTTTAGATAAGTTGGCTCCGCATTTCCGAGGCTCTTAACACTGCAGACTGGAATCCGTGGGGCACCGTGATGTATTCTACTTTTAGGGGTCGACCTTTCCTAGACCACTCCTTTCGTTATAGGAAGGCAATACAGCCCTATATACTGGTTGTCCAAGAGGAACATCTTACTGCTGTCATACTCGAATACAGTCCCCAGTACTTCTTCCTCAGGCCATACGTTACTGCTTTTAGTTTTACCGTTCTCCGACCGACCTACCTTGCTTAGTAGAGTCTGAGGTAACGAGTGCCTAATCAATCTACCTCGACTTGGTCATCACAATATGAAGGACCGACCGCAATGTTACGATAGCAGATACGGTAAAGATTATATGTGAACCGATGAATACTCTGAGTAATTTCATTTAGATCCTGTTGCAGACGTACTGACCTGCAAGAACAACTGTTCAGACAAGTGGCAATTTAAGCAAATACATCTTTCTTTGTAAACTAATGAATTACGAAGCATGTATGTTTGCTGTATTTTGTTAGGTTATATATGCCCGACTGAAGTAGTGGAGATATAATCCGTTGCGTTCATTAGAACAATACTTGAACATTTATCTGACCGTAATATCATTATATCATCATTTCGCTTAGTATTTCGTAATGGTTTTAGGTGGTCTTTGGATAAAAGCTTCGATAATAAAGGGACCTATGTGTATGAAGTAGTGGAATTAAACGAGTAGGAAAGCTTGTTTCTTATTTTTTTTCTGGTTATAATTTTATCTAGGAGGATGACTCAAATAACCATAACTTTGTGATAGTCTAGTAGTACATTCGACTAACAAATGGAGTAAGGACATCTGTGCTTAATTTGTTTTATATATGAAAGAAAACAACAGAAATTATAACTAAAGCCTTCTAATGAGACCTAGTTGTTGTAAAATAATGTTAATTGCAATGTAATATCCAAGTGAAAAACCAGATAATTTGATTAAGAATAAGATTCTGAATTCAATACTCATTTATTTGGTGTAATTACGAAGCAAAAAAAACTGGGACCAATTTTATTAAGTGTAGAGACTAATTTCCTCTGACTCCAATACATAGTATCCCGTTAACCGATTATTTAACGCAGGCTAAATCTCCTAGTAGTATTATGAATTTTTCAAAAGTCCGAATACCAGTTGTAGAGGTAGTTTATTGTTAAGATTAGTAAAAATCCACAAGTGCGAGGATATCAAGCACACAGAGAAACGAGAATGTGAGTGATTGTTAAAAATCCATATATATTTATGAGTGTTAATCGATTATGGATAAATTACTGATTGTATGTGTTTACAACCAATGGGAGAATACATAAAGATTGATGTACAGCGAGTAGACAAATAATGCAATAGTTCAATGGGCTTACTACACAAGTGTTCACCACTAACCACCATTGTGAAAAGAAATCTTGGTTATCATTGCGAGTGAACCATCACAGTAATTTCATTTTAGTATCTAGGTGGCGAAAAACTGTTTATTTGAAGTATCCAATGAAAGGAAAACTTGATTTCCGATAGAAATAACCTAATGCAACTCCATAACCACATCATGAATGCTGTGAGCTAGTTACTGTGTGGAAGTAGACATTACTATCTGTTTAATAAGGCATAAATGGGTAGAGTTATTTGGACTCATGGCTCTTCGTCATTCGAGATAAAAGTATTTCATCCTAAATAATACATGGGAGTCATAACTTTGATGTAAGCCCTGGTGACTATATGCCAAAAAAACAATGCAGGTTTCCTGGTTATGATGTGAAGTTATATGCTGCGAATTTGCAAACAAGTGTTATCGTACATACGTTGGTCAATAGAAGTATACGAACTCGTCTCGGTTTTGAAATTCACACCAATAAAGCTTTTCAAACTTAAAGATAACTGGTGTGGATAGGATCTTCCGAGGTACATACAACTAGCGAAGGTTCAACTTTGTTAATAATCATAATAAGCACTTCTCCTGTTTTCATAAGTTGGATTACGTTTGTTGTTGCTTCATTTTCCATCGAATCCTCAACTCTAATTAATACTTTCGGTTAATCGTCTTTGATGATTGATTCACAGGGGTCTTAAAGTTTAATCATTTTGCGACTATCGTTTACAGATTATTTAGATGGCTACTTTGTGGAGATAATTATGACTTCACTACGGACTGATACCGGTTGACTGTCTATCACTCTATGGCTTCCAGCGGTTCTCCGACCCACAATGAGAACTTTCAACCAAAGCATCCCTAAGCGCTAAATATTCATCTAGTCACACTAAAAAACTGCGATTTTTCTCGGAATTTGTTTTCAAAGACAAAAGTATTGAACATGACTGAAGTCATATAAATATCCATTACGTGATCAACCTTTGACTTTAGATACATCAAATATAATTATAGTAAGGTAAACATGCTTTTATACGCAAATAAATCTGACAAGTTGAAAAGTATAAAAAGCTCGCTTTATAACAAAAAAGATAAAACACATGATTTACAAGCATTGAAATATCAACTGGCCAAGAACAAAACATATGAATGAGCATCGTGTCCCAAAAAAGATTGGGGAATTTGCCCACTATCAATATGTATTCCTCCAGAACACGTACAATTATCTCTTTGTTTTCGAATCCTTTTATGTAGGAACACTGAAATTTACATCAATATATATATATAGAAAAATAAAGTATATTATCTACATAAATCAAATGGAATAAATCACTTGGATCTATATATAATCGACAGATGCTCGTACCATTAACGTCTTGTGTTTATATATGTAGGCTCAACGTAAGCAAATGCGTGGAAAATAAATACAAACTCAAAAAGCATGTATATATTTATGTAATAAAGAATTGAGTAGCATGAAAGACAATTAATGATTAGATAAGAAAATATGAAATGAAAAGCACACACTTCTTATTAGTATTATTGATGATTTTAGTGGTAGTTTAAATTTGGCACAGACATTGTTGGTAAGAATAGTAAGTAGGACTTTTAATTAATTTTCGGAAGGTATAGATATTATGTTCACTGAAATCTAAGGGCGCAAACAACATAATAAACCAAAGCAGAAAATGGAAGTAAACACTTTGTAGTCTCAATAAATGAACAACTTTATATGTCTGTATTTAGCTCATCATGATACGACGTAAATTATTTTGCAATACTGTATCTTGCATAGCATTGAATACTGTTTCGATATTCCGCCTATCTACAGCAGTTGTGAAATGACGATAGACCATACGTTTTCGTACAGGGGCTGTAAATGTTACGTTAGTGGACATAGGTACAGAGTTTTGTCTATGAAGAGATGAACATTTAGCAGTATTATTGAATGATGAATGTGAAAGACTTGAACGAGCTTGAGTATCTGGTGGAAAGTTGTGATTGACTAGAGAGGCAAATACTTCAACCATAAATGTTTGAACATCTTGCAGACGAAATGGATCCATTTTCACGGGGTAATTGGGAAACTCATCACGAATATTTGATGTACGTGAGTTTAACTTTTCTTTAAGTATATCAGTTTTGTTAAAAAATATAATGATGGAAACACGTCTAAAAGCAATATGATTGATAAGTCCTTCAAAAACAACCATAGCTTCATGTAATTTATTTCGAAATTCTTTAGTTAATCGATCTTGATAATGTTCATCGTAATGACTGCAAGCAATAAGGAACAGGACAGATGTCATATCAGCAAAACATTGACACCATTTACGACGTTCTTTTGTTTGTCCACCGACGTCAATAAAAACAAGTGATGATGAGTGGACATTTATTTCTTCTTCAATTATAGATTCCGTTGGTTTACGTGACCAAACTATATCTTCATCAGTTGGACGATAATTCTAAAAAATCAAGAAAAATTTCAAAAAATCCATTGTACTACTTAAAATTTTGTTTAATTCGGTTATTTATTTACTTATTATCTATATTATTTATCTATAGAGAAGCGAATTACACTAAGTTGTGAAGCATTCGAAAATCTATTTTTAACTCACTGAGTTATAAAAACATATTATTCTATAAGAACTATAAATGCACGAATGGGATCTTAAAAATATAAAGTAGAAGTCAACCACATAATGCTATGTATCTTTTAGAAACACTTTTACTACACTTAGATGTTGGAAACCAAAATCAACTGAAAAGCTTCCAAGGGGGATTACATTTACAAGAGATAAGTAGACTAGGGAACATAAAATATGATACGACAGTTCATCGATTCAAGACGCCATATTTCTTAACAGTGCAAAATGAGAAGCATTTTAGACAGAAAACATCAGAATGAACTAGAGGGAGACTAATTGAAAAATGTTGTACACTAAATTCATGTGGTTTAAGACTTTCACAGAAGATTTGAATATATTCGGTGAAATTTAACGAACAAAACTACTACAGTAAATAAGGTCAGAATTTGATAGATTCAAACAGAATAAAAATGAATAAACTCATATACCGGGTACTTGGATCCATACTCGAAATGTGAGAGCTAATGTTATTACACAACTGGCCAGTCCGAAATAGATGGAATGGGGTTAGAATCTAAAACTTAGTGACCGTAAATTGAAAGCTTTAACCATTAAGCCGACGCTCCATTTTTCATAGATTACGAACATGTAATTGAACGATGAAAAAATATACTAGAGTTAATACACTAGCTACGTTTACTGACAACTTTATGATGTCATTATATGTGATTTAAAGTATGTGTTTCTTTTTCTGGTGGCTAATTTACATTAGAAAATGTAAACATTACGCATACGTAGCTTTAAGAAACATATATTTAAGTTGCATTAGTTTTTAAGGAAGGAAAAAGGTAAAAAAGAATGTAACTGTAAGTTTAACAAAATGAGAGAGCCTAAAATGAAGAAAAATTATGTCGCTTGCTATTTTGGAAAAGAATTATTCATGATAACTTCGTAATCAGTTCAGAATCGTGTTTTTAAACAAAAAATGTACAAGATTATTCATGTCTGTAATGAAAAGTCGTCATTAGTTACATAGATATTCGGTCGATTGCGTTATTTGATTTATTTGTGAATATTGTTTCTCTCAGGTGTCTATTATTACTTACTTACTTACTTACGCCTGTTATTCCTTGTGAAGGAGCATAGGTCAAACACGAGAATTCTCCATCCAACCCTGTCCTGGAAAATCCTTTCCAATTGTTATTCGTTCTTTTCATATCTGATTCTATTTCCCAATGTAATGTGTTCTTAAGTCTTCCTCTTTTCCGCTTTCCTTCAGGATTCTGAGTTAGGGCTTGTCTCGTAATGCAGTTTGATGATTTGCGTAATGTATGTCCTATCCATTCCCATCGTCTTTTCCTAAGGTGTCTATTATATTAACTAATAAATCTTGTTAAATATATCAAATTACGTGTTACATTCAACCATTGTCAAGTGAAAAATTATTAATTGGATATGAAGTAAAAAAGAAATTCATTTCTTATTTAATTGTTCGTTCATTCTATAAACAACAATGTTACTTTTTCAATCTACTGTCATATACATCTTCGATTACATTCTTAGATATATATGCATAGAACTTTTTTTGTTGAAAATCTTTATCATCAGCTTAAAATAACATCTAATCATAACAGTGTATACAACAATATATTTGTTCTATTTAGTAATCTAAAAAAACTACAAAAATATATCCTGTATATAGGCAGATTTTAATTTTAATTTTGTATTTACGAATTTATTTATTTATCTTAAATCATAATTTCTATAGTGATTTTTTCACTGTGACTGATACTAGTATTACTGCCCCTTTGATATTCATCTTGATATGATGTGAAAACTTGAACTAATGCACAAATATCCCAAGTTCTACGTTGTTGGCGACTGACTAAATACAATTAGTTTTATTTTGAAAAACATTTAAATTCTAATGACCTACATCACCAACCGGTTTTGAATAAGATATGAAGCTATTGTACTATGAGCCTCTTCAAAAGTTTTGTATAAGCAATAAATAGGATTTTCGTTTCAAGATAAACGATCAGAATGCAAATGTTAGTAGTAATTTAGTTTTATAAGTCATACTTCAACCAATTTACCAACAAGAAGAAAGCAAGAGCAAAGATTTAAGCAGAATAACATAATTTCATCTTATTTCATCAGGTTCTTGTCAGCTTCTTACAAACTGTATTATTTAATGGTTAAAATTATAAATTGAGTTAAACGTACATAAATGAATTTTAAGACAGAAATTTGTTACCTTTATACATCAGAATAGTATGGGAAAGATGTAAATCAATTTAAGAAATCAAATAAAAATTGCCTATAAACATACAATATTTGAAAGAATAATTTTATAGCAACGGTAGTAAAAAGAGAAACCGAAGAGTTAGAAACAAATAGTTACGTGATGAGCACACGCCAATGATAAGTAAAAATAAAGTGAGTAAAATTCGGTTAGTTGAAAATCAAAGTAATTGGACTGGAAGCAAGCCAAAAAAGGTAATGAAACAACCAACTAATTTAAAGATTTTAAAAGAACTAAATGATTTAACTAACTAAAGTTTATGGTACATAAAATGTTTGACTACAGTTCAATTTTAAAAACATAAACCACATGTCAATTTTTGCAGTAAACTTCAAAAGAAAAGGACTTGGCTGTTCAGTAATGACACTGAAAGATTTTAAAGGTACCAACCTGATGTCTAGAGATTGCATGATTGAAAGTATTTCTTTATCTTGATCGAAATGTATTAAGAATATGTTTAAAAAATCCAATCAATAAAGGTGCCTGATAGGTATACGTAAATTTATACACAGTTGAAGCTAACACAAGTGGGGAACTTGTTTACCCTTCACTAAAACATTGAAGATGTTTTATTACACGATTAATAGTTTGGGTGCACGGTAGGTCCTGGTTAATGCACTATTAAGCTCTATACTGACTACCTTTGTAATATCATCACCTTCGAAGTTGAGTGGGATAATGACTGGTTCTTTATTGACTGGATTTATATCCGACTTGTTATCTCTAGTTTTTTTCTCTATATTTATTAATTCATTTAGGCAAGTATTCTCAACCTAATATTTAATTTAAACTTTTGAATAGTACAGGTTGCAAGTAGCTGACAAGAACCTAATGAAATCAATGCCCCCTGAATGCCCTGGTATGGCCGAGAGTGGGGAGAGTCCTCTCTCCCTCTCGAAATACTCTCACACGGCCACGCGTATACAGCCTCTGCCAGGGAAGTCCTACTCATTGCCTTCTCGTGGCGGGGGTGTTGTTTACGAAAATGAGAGGACGAAAAGCGGATGTCCGGCGCTTTAACCGGATTCCAAATCAATGGTGCACATGGGCTCCAGTATCCTGCGGGAACAAATGGAGTATGAACCAATCGTTGGTCACCGGCTACCATGGGATTGCATCTCCTTACGATGCTCCACTGCCTTGTGGGTTAGACCTTTAGGTCAAAGGCTCGGGGAGTGGCCCCCTAAGATAACCACCTGCTTCGGTTTGGGCACCCGGGCAGTATCACAGCCCACACACAAATTGATGAACTCTTCATGCCTATGGAAATTACCTTTCTCGCTTTGAAAAACAAACAATTGATTCAGATTATTATCATTACAATTATCGTCATTATTAATACTATTATTATTATTAATACTATTATTGTCATTATTGTTATTATTATTATTATTATTATTATTATTTCCACATTATTCACCCTCTTTTATACTTATACAGCGGCTCGTCTTTGGTGGAAATTCGACTGTATCTAAACGTTCTCGAGTCACTGTCCGGTTGAAAATTGTATGTTACCACCGAATACGAGGACTGAAGCAGTTTTTTCTGAAACCACGTGCACCATTCAAACTGGCTGCCTTCAACGTTCGCACATTTATGCAGGTCGGACAACAGATAGGGCTGGCTATGTCTTTGGAAAGTCTTAATATTGATGTTTGTTGTCTATCCGAGACCCGTATTCAAGACTCTGGCGAAGTACTACAAATTCGATCTCCATCTGTCGCTTCGAAAAGCTTGTTTTACGTGCGCTTATCCGGGGACCCTGTGGCATCTTCGTCTGGTCTTGCTGGCGTTGGTGTCGCACTAAGCGCTAGAGCTGAGGCAGCACTAGTCGATTGGATCCCCATTAACAGTCGGTTATGTGCTGTTAGATTAGAAAGTTCCATCAAAGTGAGAAGAAATCGGCATGAGAAACGATGTCTTTTCGTCATCTCCGCCTATGCCCCGACAGATTGCAGCCCGGATGCAATCAAGGATGAGTTTTACCACCAGTTATCAGTTCTTCTCCAGAAAGTGCGTTCGACAGATATTGTAGTACTAGCCGGAGACTTGAATGCTCAGGTCGGGCGTCTAGGCACAGAAGAGAGTCGTTTAGGTGGCCGATGGGGACTCGTTGGTCGCAGGTCAGATAACGGGGACCGTCTACTGCAACTTTGCACAGACCACAACCTGTTTCTGGCTAGCACTAACTTTCGGCACAGTCATCGCCGATGTGCCACCTGGCGTCCTCCCTCTGCATCTCAAGCCTGGACTCAGATTGATCACATCGCGATCAGCTACCGCTGGCGTGGTTGTGTACAAGACTGCCGCTCCTTTTGGAGTACCTATCTGGACTCTGACCATGCCTTGGTCTGCGCCAATCTTGCCTTACTTTTCAGTGGACAACGAAGTGACCACCACCAAAGGATTGATGTTAGCAAGCTGGTTGCAACTTCTGTTGCAAGTAAGTATCGAACCGAGCTAGCCTCTAGGCTAGCTACCACTCCACCGAAAAGTATAGATGAGCATTGGTTGCAATTGCATGACGCCATGAAAATGGCGGGAACAGTCAGTTGTGGGTTTGCGAAACGTC